ACGCAGGGCATCGCGGGGCCGCACGCCTCCATGCTGCTCGCGCTGCACGGCGCCGACGTCATCAAGATCGAGCCGCCCGAAGGCGACTGGGGCCGCGCGCTGGGCGAGCTGAAGGGCGACCACTGCGCCCATTCCGTCGCCTTCAACCGCGGCAAGCGCTCGATCGCGCTCGATCTCAAATCGGCCGACGGCATCGCCGTGGTGAAGAAGCTTGCTGAGAAGGCACATGTGGTGATGGAGAGCTTCCGTCCCGGCGTGATCTCGCGGCTGGGCTTCGGCTACGAGGACGTCAAGAAGATCAACCCCAACGTCATCTACTGCTCGGTGTCGGGCTTCGGCCAGACCGGCCCCTACAGCAAGCGCCCGACCGTCGATGGCCTGATCCAGGCGTTCAGCGGCATGATGGTGATGAACAAGATGCCGGACGGCACGCCGTGGCGTCAGGGCATGATCGCGGTCGACGTGACGACCGGCCTCTACACCTTCCAGGCGCTCAGCACCGCGCTGATGCGCCAGTTCCGCTACAATGAAGGCTGCTTCATCGATTCCAGCCTGATGCGCGCCGCCGCCGCCTTCCAGGGCGCCAAGCTGATGGAATGGGTGTTCTCCAAGGGCGCGCCGCCCGTCCTCTACATGCCCGCCGGCAGCTACAAGTCGAAGAACGGCTACATCATGGTCAGCGCCATGCGGCCGCATCACTTCCGGCTGCTGTTCGAACTGATCGGCCGCCAGGACATCGCCGACGATCCGGAACTGCAGAGCCACGAGAACCGCATCAAGAACGCCGCGAAGATCATCAAGGCGCTGAACGAGACGATGCCGACCAAGACCACCGAGGAGTGGATCGCGATCCTGCAGCCCAAGGACGTGTTCTGCGAGCGGGTGAACAACTACTCCGACTATCTCGACCATCCGCACGTCAAGGAATCGGGTGCGATCGACTGGATCGAGCAGGACGGGTTCGGCCGCATGCCGGTCGCCAACATCGCCGGACTGCCGCCGGCGTCGGAACATGCGCCGCAGCAGCATGC